CAGTGTAAGTCCTACTTTTGTTTAGTTGACAAAAAACTTTTTGGTTTTGGAATAATATGGCATTTAGAACCAAAAATATAATTATCTTGCTGTGATTCTAGTCATCACTGCTATATTAAAAATATATTAAAAATTCACACAGTGCTACACCTGCGGCTGGGACAAGATTACATCTAGAAAAGGCAAGGTTGGAGCCTACATTTAGCAGTATTCTAAACTTAGCATCAGCAGACGATGGTCCATGATGATATGATGGGTTTACCACAGTAATCATGTCTCATAAATAGGTTATATTAAAATCACAACTGGGGTTCTTGCTCAATCAGTTAAGTGACTGTATTTTAACAAGGGGAATAGAATAGAATGGAAAATAGTAAAGTGAACTGTGTGTAATAAAAGTGATAATGTTAAACTGATAATTGGATCATGATATAAATGATATTTCTCACTGTGTGTAGCAGTAAACACTTTATAGTCACTCCACTATATCCTCATCTGTAAAGTATATTAAATAGCTACAGTGTATGTGGCATTGTTAGTTGCCCCAGCACATGTTATAAGATAAATAAAACTCAAGCCTGTCCCTCGAGGAATTTAGGATATAATGTAAGAAAATTCATGTATACAAACAAAGTTTAAAAATGCCTTGTGATAGGCCCATAGTAATAATAGAACTTAGAGTACTCAGGGAAAATTCATAATGGAGGTGGCATTTGAGTGAGTTTTCATTTTTTGTTTTGGTGTTTTCTTGACTATGCCACATGGCATGCTGGACCAGGGATCAAACTCAGGTCCCCTGTCGTGGAAGCATGGAGTCCTAACCACTGGGCTGCCAGGGAAGTCCCTTGAGTGAGTTTTGAATCGTATAGGATTTTATCTGCTCAAGAGGTGATCAGAGTGATGAGTATTAGCATGAAAAAATAAATGTGTACAATGTGATAGTAAGCAGAGAATAATCTACTTTTTCAAAAAGATAATTGAGTACATGCAGATCAGAAAAGAAAGGAAGAGTAAATATTAAACTTAGACATTGACTAGATGCTGAAGTTGAAACTCCAATACTTTGGCCACCTGATGCAAAGAACTGACTCATTGGAAAAGACCCTGATTCTGGGAAAGATTGAAGGTGGGAGGAGAAGGGGACAACAGAGGATGAGATGGTTGGATGGCATCACTGACTCAATGGACGTGTGTTTGGGTGGACTCCAGGAGTTGGTGATGGACAGGGAGGCCTGGCGTGCTGCAATCCATGGGGTCACAAAGGGTCGGACATGACTGAGCGACTGAACTGACTGACTGAAACCATAGTTAAGTTAGTAACCACTAAGGATAATAGTGATATCATCAAAGTGATATTTTAGAAATAGTAGTCTTAAATAGTGTTGTCTATCTTGGAAGGGGTTAAAGTGGTGGTTGGTAGTCTAGACAGGGGACCAAAGAAAGACTGTAAATATGGATGAATAAAGAGAGATGAGAAGAATGGGAAAGAAATGGAGAGACAGGTCTAAGACATTGACCAAAGCAAGTCTGCCGTCAATGAGGCATGCGTTTGAATGTCAAAGCAAAGGAGAATGAGTTAGAGGCAGCCCCCAAGTTTTTTATTAGGGTGATTAATGATATATGGTTCTTTTACTAGGAAGAAGGAATAAGAAGAGAAAGATAGAGAAGATGATGGGCTGTGTTTTGGAAAGAGTAAGTTCATGATGCTGACAGGTATAAAGAACCTAAAGGGAATAAGGAACTATACATCAGGAGAGAGCTTTGCGAATTATGTGGAGGGTGATAGCTGTAATAGCATGGCAGTGAACGTTATCCTCAGGGACAGCATGTAGAGAAGGTGGCAGAAAAGGACAGACTTTGGGGAACCTCTCTTCTCCATTTAAGAAGTAGAAATGAAATAACTCATTAGAAACAGCCTAAATATCCTGAGGGTAGATGAGATAGTAGAGTATCGAAAACCTAGGGAAGAGAAAGTTTCAAGGACAAATGGTTGAGCAATACTATGTGTAACAAAGTGGTTAACGAAAGTTGATGAGGGGCATATCTTTTTTCATAGCAGTCTGTTTGGTGACACTACAAGTAATTACTACTGAAATGTCGGGAGGGAGGAAAGACATGTAAAGCAGAGTATAAGAAATAAAAGGATTAAGCAGGGCGAAATAAGGGAATACACAGAAATTTTAAGGAAAGGAGGTAGTTGGATGGGCTGGTTCATAATGGAAGGCTTTATCAATAAAATTAGACTGAAACAGAGGTTGTTCTGTTTAAGATGAATTGAGGTTGTGAATGTGGCCAGTGCAGTAGTGGCTATCCAGATTGGCACAAGTCAAATAACTTAAAAATGATGATGATGGAGCAATAGTGAAGGGAGAATTGAGGTGAGGCCCACTGAGCGCAGTGCAGTGACTTTCTGTAGGGTCTCATGATACTATTGCAGACTTGAGAAAGCAGAGTAGAAATGATTTATAGTGTTATTTACCAAGTATCACAGAGGCCAGGGGGCCCAAGGGTTGAAAAGAATATCATGAGAACCAGGTGAGAAAGAGATGTAAGACAGTAAAGAGGATAAAGTTCAAGAGCTGGAGGTAGATTAGAGAATAGTTATCTGTCTGGAGTCATCGATGTTAAATAGCAACAGTTTATCTCATTTGATGCTGCTTGTTTAGTTGAGTCATATTTGGAAAGTCACTGACCACGAAGGGGCTTTTCAAAGAATTCACAAGTACTATCTATCGCCAGTTTTTGCTGCTTAGCCCTAAAATAACAATAGAGTTGTAAAACATTTTGTAAGTCATAGTTTTTTCTATGAATGTTAGTGTAGTGTTTTGCCTCCCAAAATGATACCATGGATTCTTTCATTCATGATATATGTTCACTTTAAACTCAAAAATGATGAGTACATGCCTAAAAACCCCAATCTATAATTTATCTTAGTAAATTTTTATAACTCTGTTATCTGGATTCTTATTTAAACTCTTAAATTCTGTTTATTTTTGCTTCTTAAGGTAACGAGGTAGAATAAGCAAATCTGAATGTTCAGTAGCTGTGTTTCCCAGAATGTGTTAGGTAGACATCAGTCCCATGAGATGGTACAAAATAAAGGAGGGTTGTGTGTGTAATATGATCAGAAAACTTGAGGAAAACAAGTCGTTATGTTACCATTTGGAATATTCAAAATGCTTATTAGCATATCAAAGCTACTAGAAGACCTGCAGGAAAGAAGGGTAACTTTCTCTAAATCTTTTCTTTCTCTAACTTATCTGACCTGCAAGGACCACTAGCACCGTCACCATCACCCTGTTACGGTTTTATGTAAAACTAATATCTTTTGGAACACACTTTGGGAATATTGCTACATTTGAGATTGTATTCAGAAGTAATCTAAACAGTTTAAGAATGAATTCTGTGAGTACTTATGAAATAGAATAACAGAGACAGATGAAGAATATGAGATCATATATATTATGGATAATGACCATAGATACACAAAAGCAAATGTGTCAGGGCAAAAGGAAGCAGGAGTTGGACTGTGAAGAAGGCTGAGCGCTGAAGAATTGGTGCTTTTGAACTGTGGTGTTGGAGAAGACTCTTGAGAATCCCTTGGACTGCAGGGAGATCCAGCCAGTCCATCCTGCAGGAGATCAGTCCTGGGTGTTCATTAGAAGGACTGATGCTGAAGCTGAAACTCCAATACTTTGGCCACCTCATGCGAAGAGTTGACTCATTGGAAAAGACCCTGATGCTGTGAAGGATTGGAGGCAGGAGGAGAAGGGGATGACAGAGGATGAAATGGCTGGATGGCATCACCGGCTCGATGGGTGAATTGTTACCCCAGATTATTTAATATTCTCTTTTATCTAATGAAACAACTCCAAAATAAGAAACTGAATCTTGTTATTGGAATGCAAAAGCCTAAGACTCATCAAAAAAGGAATTTTATGTTAGCTCTCATAATTAGTATCTAATGTATAACTTTTCTCTTGTATTTTGATATTGACAGTTTCTTCCCTGTGATTGCTTTGTTGCTGTCGTTCAGTCACTCAATCATGTCCACCTCTTTATGGCCCCACGTACTGCATCACATCAGGCTTCCCTGTCCTTCACTGTCTCCCAGAGTTTGTTCAAACTCATGTTCATGAGTCCATGACACCATCCAACCATCTCATCCTCTGTCACCCCCTTTTCCTCTTGCTCTCAATCTTTTCCAGCATCAAGGTCTTTTACAGTGAGTCGGCTCTTTGCATCACGTGGCCAAAGTGTTGGAGCTTCAACTTCAGCATCATTCCTTCCAGTGAATATTCAAGGACTGATTTCCTTTAGGATTGACTGGTTTGATCTCCTGGCTGTCCAAGGGACTCTCAAGTGTCTTCTCCAACACCACAGTTCGAAAGCATCAATTTTTTGGCTCTCAGCCTTCTTTATAGTCCAACTCTCACATCTGTACATAACTACTGGAAAAACAATAGCTTTGACTAGACGTGACTTTTGTCAGTAAAATGATGTCTCTGCTTTGTAATATGCTATCTAGGTTTGTCATAGCTTTTATTTCAAGGAACAAGTACCTTTTAATTTCATAGTTTCAGTCACCATCTACAGTGATTTAAGAGCCCAAGAAAGTAAAATCTGTCACTGTTTCTACTTTTTCCCCATCTGTTTGCCATGAAGTGATGGGACAAGAGGCCATGATCTTAGTTTTCTGAATGTTGAGTTTTAAGCCAACTTTTCACTCTCCTCTCTCACCCTCATTAAGACGCTCTTTAGTTCCTCTTTGTTATTTGTCATTAGGGTGGTGTCATCTGCCTATCTGAAGTTATTGATACTTCTCCCGACAGTTTGATTCCAACTTGTGATTCATCCAGCCTGGCATTTTTCATTATGTATTCTGCATATATATTAAATAAGTGTGGCAATATACAACCTTGACATACTTCTTTCCCAATTTTGAACCAGTCCATTGTTCCGTGTCTTGTTCTAACTCTCCCTTCTTATCTTGCATACAGATTTCTCAAGAGACAGGTGATTCCTTAGAAACAGATGAAACGGAAAAGCTTAAGCGTGAAAGAAATGACGCCTTGGAAGAAGTGAATGCACTTAAGGTAATCTCCAATTTAGCTACCTTATATTTTCTTTTGTATAAAGAAAAGAAAGAAAATTATCGTGTGTTGAATTCTGGAGTATCAAGACTTAGTTGTTGTTTTTGTTTTTTTTTTAAAGAATATCAATATCATAGTTTAGTATAGGATATTAATATCGAATTAATATTTGTTTCCTCAGCTGACCTTTATTTTTTTGTGTGTGTGTGGTTTTTGTCATACATTGACATGAATTAGCCATGGATTTACATGTATTCCCCATCCCAGTCCCCCCTCCCACCTCCGTCTCCACCCGATCCCTCTGGGTCTTCCCAGTGCACCAGGCCCGAGCACTTGTCTCATGCATCCAACCTGGGCTGGTGATCTCTTTCACCCTAGATAATATACATGTTTTGATGCTGTTCTCTTGAAATATCCCACCCTCGCCTTCTCCCAGAGTCCACAAGTCTGTTCTATACATCTGAGTTTCTTTTTCTGTTTTGCATATAGGGTTATCGTTACCATCTTTCTAAATTCCATATATATGTGTTAGTATACTGTAGTGGTCTTTATCTTTCTGGCTTACTTCGCTCTGTATAATGGGCTCCAGTTTCATCCATCTCATTAGAACTGATTCAAATGAATTCTTTTTAATGGCTGAGTAATATTCCATGGTGTATATGTACCACAGCTTCCTCATCCATTCATCTGCTGATGGGCATCTAGGTTGCTTCCATGTCCTGGCTATGATAAACAGTGCTGCGATGAACATTGGGGTACACGTGTCTCTTTCAGATCTGGTTTCCTTGGTGTGTATGCCCAGAAGTGGGATTGCTGGGTCATATGGCAGTTCTATTTCCAGCTTTTTAAGAAATCTCCACACTGTTCTCCATAGTGGCTGTACTAGTTTGCATTCCCACCGACAGTGTAAGAGGGTTCCCTTTTCTCCACACCCTCTCCAGCATTTATTGCTTGTAGACTTTTGGATAGCAGCCATCCAGACTGGCGTGTAATGGTACCTCATTGTGGTTTTGATTTGCATTTCTCTGTAATGAGTGATGTTGAGCATCTTTTCATGTGTTTGTTAGCTATCTGTATGTCTTCCTTGGAGAAATGTCTGTTTAGTTCTTTGGCCCATTTTTTGATTGGGTCATTTATTTTTCTGGAGTTGAGCTGGAGGAGTTGCTTGTATATTTTTGAGATTAATCCTTTGTCTGTTGCTTCGTTTGCTATTATTTTCTCCCATTCTGAGGGCTGTCTTTTCACCTTGCTTATAGTTTCCTTTCTTGTGCAAAAGCTTTTAAGTTTCATTAGGTCCCATTTGTTTATTTTTGCTTTTGTTTCTAAAATTCTGGGATGTGGGTCATAGAGGATCCTGCTGTGATTTATGTCGGAGAGTGTTTTGCCTATGTTCTCCTCTAGGAGTTTTATAGTTTCTGGTCTTACATTTAGATCTTTAATCCATTTTGAGTTTATTTTTGTGTATGGTGTTAGAAAGTGTTCTAGTTTCATTCTTTTACAGGTGGTTGACCAGTTTTCCCAGCACCACTTGTTAAAGAGGTTGTCTTTTTTCCATTGTATATCCTTGCCTCCTTTGTCGAAGATAAGGTGACCATAGGTTCGTGGATTTATCTCTGGGCTTTCTATTCTGTTCCATTGATCTATATTTCTGTCTTTGTCCCAGTACCATACTGTCTTGATGACTGTGGCTTTGTAGTATACTCTGAGGTCAGGCAGGTTGATTCCTCCAGTTCCATTCTTCTTTCTCAAGGTTACTTTGGCTATTCGAGGTTTTTTGTATTTCCATACAAATTGTGAAATTATTTGTTCTAGTTCTGTGAAAAATACCGTTGGTAGTTTGATAGGGATTGCATTGAATCTATAGATTGCTTTGGGTAGTATAGCCATTTTGACAATATTGATTCTTCCAATCCATGAACACAGTATATTTCTCCATCTGTTTGTGTCCTCTTTGATTTCTTTCATCAGTGTTTTATAGTTTTCTATTATAGGTCTTTTGTTTCTTTAGGTAGATATACTCCTAAGTATTTTATTCTTTTTGTTGCAATGGTGAATGGTATTGTTTCTTTAATTTCTGTTTCTGTTTTCTCATTGTTAGTGTATAGGAATGCAAGAGATTTCTGTGTGTTAGTTTTATATCCTGCAACTTTACTGTATTCATTGATTAGCTCTAATAATTTTCTGGTAGAGTCTTTAGGGTTTTCTATGTAGAGGATCATGTCATCTGCAAACAGAGATAGTTTCACTTCTTCTTTTCCTATCTGGATTCCTTTTACTTCTTTTTCTGCCCTGATTGCTGTGGCCAACACTTCCAAAGCTATGTTGAATAGTAGTGGTGAGAGTGGGCACCCTTGTCTTGTTCCTGATTTCAGGGGAAATGCTTTCAATTTTTCACCATTGAGGGTGATGCTTGCTGTGGGTTTGTCATATATAGCTTTTATTATGTTGAGGTATGTTCCTTCTATTGCTGCTTTCTGGAGAGTTTTAATCATAAATGGATGTTGAATTTTGTCAAAGGCTTTTTCTGCATCTATTGAGATAATCATATGGTTTTTATCTTTCAATTTGTTAATGTGGTGTATTACATTGATTGATTTGCGGATATTAAAGAATCCTTGCATTCCTGGGGTAAAGCCCACTTGGTCATGGTGTATGATTTTTTTAATATGTTGTTGGATTCTGTTTGCTAGAATTTTGTTAAGGATTTTTGCGTCTATGTTCATCAGTGATATTGGCCTGTAGTTGTCTTTTTTTGTGGCATCTTTGTCTGGTTTTGGAATTAGGGTGATGGTGGCCTCATAGAATGAGTTTGGAAGTTTACCTTCTTCTGCAATTTTCTGGAAGAGTTTGAGTAGGACAGGTGTTAGCTCTTCTCTCAATTTTTGGTAGAATTCAGCTGTGAAGCCATCTGGTCCTGGGCTTTTGTTTGCTGGAAGATTTCTGATTACAGTTTCGATTTCCTTGCTTGTGATGGGTTTGTTAAGATCTTCTATTTCTTCCTGGTTCAGTTTTAGAAAGTTATACTTCACTAAGAACTTGTCCATTTCTTCCAAGTTGTCCATTTTATTGGCATAGAACTGCTGGTAGTAGTCTCTTATGATCCTTTGTATTTCAGTGTTGTCTGTTGTGATCTCTCCATTTTCATTTCTAATTTTGTTAATTTGGTTCTTCTCCCTTTGTTTCTTAATGAATCTTGCTAATGGTTTGTCAGTTTTGTTTATGTTTTCAAAAAACCAGCTTTTAGCTTTGTTGATTTTTGCTATGGTCTCTTTAGTTTCTTTTGCATTTATTTCTGCCCTAATTTTTAAGATTTCTTTCCTTCTACTAACCCTGGGGTTCTTCATTTCTTCCTTCTCTAGTTGCTTTAGGTGTAGAGTTAGGTTATTTATTTGACTTTTTTCTTGTTTCTTGAGGTAGGCCTGTAATGCTATGAATCTTCCCCTTAGCACTGCTTTTACAGTGTCCCATAGGTTTTGGGTTGTTGTGTTTTCATTTTCATTCATTTCTATGCATTTCTTGATTTCTATGATTTGTTGGTTATCAGAAGCATGTTGTTTAGCCTCCATATGTTTGAATTTTTAATAATTTTTTTCCTGTAATTGAGATCTAATCTTACTGCACTGTGGTCAGAAAAGATGACTGGAATGATTTCAGTTTTTTTGAATTTACCAAGACTAGATTTATGGCCCAGCATGTGATCTATTCTGGAGAAGGTTCCGTGTGCACTTGAGAAAAAGATGAAGTTGATTGTTTTGGGGTGAAACGTCCTATAGATGTCAATTAGGTCTAGCTGGTCCATTGTGTCCTTTAAAGTTTGTGTTTCCTTGTTCATTTTCTGTTTAGTTGATCTATCCATAGTTGTGAGTGGGGTATTAAAGTCTCCTACTATTATTGTGTTACTGTTAATTTCCTCTTTCATACTCGTTAACATTTGCCTTACATATTGTGGTGCTCCTATGTTGGGTGCATATATATTTATAATTGTTATATCCTCTTCTTGGATTGATCCTTTGATCATTATGTAGTGTCCATCTTTGTCTCTTTTCACAGCCTTTATTTGAAAGTCTATTTTACCTGATATGAGTATTGCGACTCCTGCTTTCTTTTGGTCTCCATTTGCGTGGAATATTTTTTTCCAGCCCTTCACTTTCAGTCTGTATGTGTCCCTTGTTTTGAGGTGGGTCTCTTGTAGACAGCATATATAGGGGTCTTGCTTTTGTATCTATTCAGCCAGCCTTTGTCTTTTGGTTGGGGCATTCAACCCATTTACATTTAAGGTAATTATTGATAGGTATGGTCCCGTTGCCATTTATTTTGTTGTTTGGGGTTCATGTTTATACCACCTTTCTGTGTTTCCTGTCTAGAGAAGATCCTTTAGTATTTGTTGAAGAGCTGGTTTGGTGGTGCTGAATTCTCTCAGCTTTTGCTTGTCTGTAAAGCTTTTGAGTTCTCCTTCATATCTGAATGAGATCCTTGCTGGGTAGAGTAATCTAGGTTGTAGGTTATTCTCCTTCATTACTTTAAGTATGTCCTGCCATTCCCTTCTGGCCTGAAGGGTTTCTATTGATAGATCAGCTGTTATCCTTATGGGAATCCCTTTGTGTGTTATTTGTTGTTTCTCCCTTGCTGCTTTTAATATTTGTTCTTTGTGTTTGATCTTTGTTAATTTGATTAATATGTGTCTTGGGGTGTTTCGCCTTGGGTTTATCCTGTTTGGGACTCTCTGGGTTTCTTGGACTTGGGTGGCTATTTCCTTCCCCATTTTAGGGAAGTTTTCAGCTATTATCTCCTCAAGTAACTTCTCATGGCCTTTCTTTTTGTCTTCTTCTGGGACCCCTATGATTCGAATGTTGGGGCATTTCACATTGTCCCAGAGGTCCCTGAGGTTGTCCTCATTTCTTTTGATTCTTTTTTCTTTTTTCCTCTCTGCTTCATTTATTTCCACCATTTTATCTTCTAGCTCACTTATCCTATCTTCTGTCTCTGTTATTCTACTCATGGTTCCCTCCAGAGTGTTTTTGATCTCATTTATTTCATTATTAATTTTTAATTGACTTTTTTTTATTTCTTCTAGGTCCTTGTTAAACCTTTCTTGCATCTTCTCAGTCTTTGTCTCCAGGCTATTTATTTGTAACTCCATTTTGTTTTCAAGATTTTGGATCATTTTTATTATCATTATTCTATATTCTTTTTCAGGTAGATTCCCTATTTCCTCCTCTTTTGTTTGACTTGGTGGGCTTTTTTCATGTTCCTTTAGCTGTTGGGTATTTCTCTGCCTTTTCATCTTGTTTCGATTGCTGTGTCTGGAGTGGGCTTTCTGTATTCTTGTGGTCTGTGGTTCCTTTTTATTATGGAGGTTTCACCCAGTGGGTGGGGTTGGACGATTGGTTTGTCAAGGTTTCCTGGTTAGGGGAGCTTGTGTCAGCGTTCTGGTGTGTGGAATTGGATTTCTTCTCTCTGGAGTGCAATGGAGTGTCCAGTAATGAGTTTTGCGATGGGTCTATGTGTTAGGTGTGACCTTTAGAGAGTAAATTTTGAGCTCGCATACTCATTATTTATATTTCACAGATTCGGTGTGAACAGTGTGGTTTGTAATCATACCTTCTAATCTGACTACTTCTAACCCTTTTTTTTCCTCACATTGGTGGGAAGGATTAAGAGCCAGTGAAGCAAGCCATGACAATTTTAGGTCCTCAGATGTTCACTGAAAAATACATTTTTCCCTGTGTTCATGGGAATGCTTCAGGGACATCTTGTTTTGCTAACATAGTATGAAATTTAATGCATTGAGATTTAAAGGAAATAAAAACACAATGTATTTCCCAAATATACTGTAAGATTTTAGATCTCTATATGTTTTAATTTTGTGTTTAGAATATTAAATTTGCATCATAATTTTTATGGAAAGCCATTATATTTTTCAGGTCCTCAAGAAAAACAGTATAACTGCTTGTTTTCCACTCACTCATGATAGGAACATATTTAAATTTTTTTCTGTGTTAATTTTTGGCTGTGCGGGTCTTCACTGCTGCACAGGCTTTCCTCTAATTGCAGAGAGCCGGGGCTCCTCTCTGGTTGCGATACACAGCCTTTCATTGTGGTGACTTGGACAGTTGCAGAGCGCGGGCTCCAGGGCAAGCGGGATTCAGTAGCTGTGGTGCCCAGTTTCTAGAGCACAGGTTTAGACAGGTTCAGTAGGAAATCTGTGCTCAGGCTTTGTTTCTCCATGGCATGTAGGACTCTTCCCAGGTCACGTTCTGAAAGCTTGCATCCCCTGCATTGGCAGGCAGGTTCTTTACCACTGAGCCACCAAATTATTTTTAATTAGTTTTTTAAATAAGTGAAATTCTATTATTTGTTTCATTTTTATTGAGGCAAAATCTTTACACCAAATTAAAAAAAGAAAGTTATTTCCTTGTTACCTTAGTTTTTGAATTCTGACCTCTAGAGGAAGCTATTGTTTAACATATCTTATTTACCCTTTCAGAGACTTTCTCTGTGTACCCAAGCATATGCTAAAAAATATGTGTATACATGCTTCTTTAACTTTCACAGAATTGTTTCATGTATTATACACTTTTTTACAACTTGTCTTCTTTTTTTCTCTTTGTTATTAGCATTATATCTTGGGTAACTTTTCAGATTAATATAAATGAATCTACCTAATTCTTTTCAGTGCCTCTCCTATCCTCCAAAGGTTCTGTTCTAGATTATTTAACCAGTTCCCTATGATGAAAGGAAAAAGATCTGAGAGCCTCAGAAAATTCTGATGAACCATAAGATTCAATGACTTACAAAGAGTAAATTATATAAAAATGCTATCTTATCAGTATAACCAACACTGCACATGTTTTTTAAGAGAATATGAAAAAACTACTGTCAATTTATTATTAAAGCTATATTTATATTTTTCATCTTAATTCTTGATCATGTCTGACTCTTTGTGACTGTAGCTTGCCAAGCTTCTCTGTCTGTGGAATTCTCCAGGCAAGAACAAAGTGGGTTGCCATTCCTTACTCCAAGGGATCTTTCTGATCCAGGGATCAAACCTGGGTCTTCTGCACTGCAGACAGATTATTTACTGTCTGAGCTACCACGGAAGCCCCAGTGTTTATCATTGTTAAGTTTAGTGATATATTTTTGTTTTTTACTGGAATATCAGTGGTAATAATTAGAATTTTAATTTAAAGATGTATTCATTTAATATTTAAACAAAGCTTTCCGGAGGAACTATTGAATAAATCAGGATTTGTATTTAAAATTTACGAGATGTAACTGAACATATCCTACTGTGACAAAACCTGAAATCACAGGTAAAATAAATTCTATATAATTTCCTTTACCTGAAAACCTATCTATTGGCTGAGAACCATTTGTTTAAATACAGAAAAAACTTCACAGCAATAAATGTTTTGTTTGAGATAATATTTGTACTTTGAGTTTTTCTACTTGTTTTATACACACAAAAAGCAGAGGTTGTTAAATGAATTTCACAGAATATGTAGATGTCTCTCATCACTTCCCATTATCCTGTGACATCTCTGTTTATCATGTCTGATTTGAGGTACAGATAAAAATGGAACCAAGCAAATTTGATGCCAATGGCTAATTTTTATTCTGCAAGAATGATTTTTAAGGTTCCGTGGGCTTTATTTAACTTAAAGCTTTTCCGCAGAGTTCACGTTGCTACTGCTTTGCAAAGTTGAATGAAAATAGATATATTTTCCATTTACAGATGCAAAAAACTAGGACACAAAGAGTGAAGGTGACTTACCAGAGCATAAAAGCCTAGGAGCCAGAAGTTTCTTGGCTCCTGTTCTGTGGCAGATTCATTAGATTGCTATATTATATTCATCTTCATGTACCTTCATTTCAAAAAATGAGCTCAAGTATAGCAGAAAGTAGATTGCTTCTTTTTTTTTTTTTTTTAGATTGCTCCTTGTAGCAATTCCTCTGGTCAGGTTTATAGTAAAATGGCTCTTAAAGTACTGGTAGTATCTCTGATTTGATCAATAAAATGTGGATTTATTTATAACATAACAAAATTGAATGTTTTAGGGTGCTATTCTCAATATCCTTAATTTTAAGTTCAAAGATTTTAATATTTGTTTGGGATGCCAATGTTATTCCACCTTAGTAACTATTCTTTCATATTTTGATTACACTAGTTATATGTTCATTTTTATGGATAATCTTACAAAAATTAGCTAAATTGGGAACATTATGTTCAACTCAGTTTCATAATCCTCTTTCGTACATACAGTAAGAGGGACTCCTAAGTTATAATAATCATGCTCTTCAATTTGCAACCTCTTTGACACTGATAACTATTACCTAGCATTTATATGACATTTATACATTTTTATCCTGATTGACTTATTTTGGACCTCAGGTTTTTAGGTTTTTTAAAAAGTGGCTAGTAAGGCGTTTCCTGGTGGCCTAGTAGTTAGAGGAGTTCAGGCTTTCACTGCTGTAGCCTGAATTCAATTTCTGGTTGGGAAATGAAGATCCTACATGCCGCCTGGCACAGGAAAAAAAATGTGACTAATTATAGTAACAGAAAATATGTTTACATCCCAATTATACTGTAAAGAGCTAATTACTTTTAACTGGTATGTATAAGGCAGAAAAGTCACTGGGAGCTACATTTCCAGATTCTAGAAGCTGGATGTTTGAGGAATTTATATGCCTTGAAATGAAGTCCTGAAAATCATGCTCATTGATACCTTCTTAACAAGTTGCTAATTCAGTGGTTTTTAATATAGGAAAAATTATTTGAATCGGAAAGGCAGAGGAAGCAATTGACAGAAGAACTCCAGAATGTGAAACAAGTAAGTGTATATATTGTTTATATGTGTCTTGCAAATGTGTGTGTAAACAAATGAGATATAGTTGCAGTACATTGATGCTGTAAAATATCTGAGAGCCTACAGATATAAACAGTATAGTATAGTGTACTGCTGCTTTCAGAGTTGGGTATCTATGGACTGAAATGATCAGTCTCATTGCTTTTCTACTCTTTTTTTCTTTCTCTTCTATTTTTCCTTTTTCTTTTCTTCTGTTATTCATATTCATTTTATTAAAGCTAAAAGCAAATCAAGGGAGGGGGAAAGCTTCCAAGGCAGAGCGTCTTTTAATATTTTTTTAGTAATAAAAAGTAAAAATTTATTTTCACTCTATCATTCTTCAAAGAATTTTAAGTAACACAGCAAAACAAATGCAACGATATCATGAAATAGAGATACAAATAACAAATAAAATGTTAATAAGAATAGAAAATTAAGACGACATTGCTATAGATCAGTGGCAGTCACCTGATTTTGAACCTCCCCAATATTTTCCTCCCAGAAAACACAACATTTACAGAGCACATAAAGCCTTACAGGAACCCACACCTTTTTTTTTTGGATACATCATGCACGACTTCTGGGATCTTAGTTCCTTGACCGGGAATTGAAACTGGCCCAGAGCTGTAAAAGCACTGAGTCCTAACCACTGAACTGCCAGAGAATTCCCAGGAACTATACCTTAATTATGGCTATTGGATAGAGCACCAGAACGTTCAAGGTGCATATAAGTAGAGTTTAAAATTCCAACAAACTGTTGCAGCTTGCCTGCCACTGAAACTTGAGAGCAGGGGAGGCTTATAAACTCTGAAAAAAGTAAGGATAGCAGAGCAATTAGACAAAGTACTGCAAGTGAAATCACCCCGGGAAAGAAAAATGCAGCTATCCATGACAGCACAGCGAACAGTGGCCGGGACTTGGCGGTCCTCAGAGCTTGGGGAGTATGTGCGAGCAGGAGCAGCAGCGTCTGGAATCACATAAGCAGAGAAGGGGTGGTGTCCCTTGGAGGCTGAGAAAGGATGAGAGAGAAGGCAATAAGAGGGGGAATTAAGGATCTTGCAGAAATGAAAAAGAAACAAGACATACCAAGCCTCCTCCATCTACCCTCCACCGTTACTATCAACATGATCCATAAAAAGAAATTGCACAGAAGAGGGTGCTGTTGAACTAAGAACTCTTCCTGTAAAAGAAAAAGGAATTGGAAAAAAAATTTAAAAATCTGTCCCTGTCATTACAAAACAACTAAATATCAGACAATATGAATTAAAACTTTCTCCCTGATGAAAATACCCCAAAACAATTTAACCTTAAAACTGTAACACAGAATAACTCAAAATAAGGAATTAAAAACAAAGACTTAGAAAATGACAAAAAAAAGAGAAATAAATGAAATGAGAGTTGTTAAAACCTAGGAAAGAAAGAAAAGAAAAAGACAAAATGATATAGAAATGAAAACTATATTACAGGTGTCCCAAGGAAGACTATAATCAAATGAAAAGGCATCAAAGAAAACCAGAAAAATAAGAATGAAGTAAGTAAAGGATTTTCATGAGAAAGTAAATCAAAACAACTAAACAGCACTAATATTTTGAACTATAATCCAAGAAAACTTTTCAGAAATAAAAGATGACCTGAAACTATTATTGGGTAGTGGGGAAAGATCAATTTAGGATATATCCTAGCAGGCTTTAAAGATAGAGGCGGGGGGGGGGGGGGGGGGGGTGGGGGGGGGGGGGAATGCATAGTGCCTCCAAATGAAAAGATCAAATAACTTACAAATGTAATAGAGTCAGACCAACATCATCCTTCCTGACATGACATACAAAGTAAGCCATTTGTGGAGCAATATTTTCATGAAACTAAAGGAAAGAATGTGTGAATCAAGAAGACCATGTCGCCTTCATTGGCAGGCAGGTTCTTCACCACTATTTCCACCTGGGGAGCCCAAGATGTAGTAGAGGTCTCTGTAAATGTTTTGATTGTTGTTGAGAGCCAGAATCTCTGTGAAAAAGCAAAAACATACAAAATAGAATTTAGGAAGTCAAGAAAGGATTCTTTGAATGGACTAGATTTGGAGGTATCATTGTGAATGCATCATTTCTAAAATATATATGTATCTATGTGAATATGAATATATATGTGCCCATATATATGTATGTCTGTGCAGTTTATATGTATGTGTGTGTGTATATATATGTGTTATATATATACATATATATATTCCTAGCTCTAACAGCTGAAAGAACCAAGAATCAGATATCCCAATAGCAATGACCACCTAGCATATCTAAGTACCCAGAAGCTATTCCCCACTAATAAGAATCCAGGCTTCTTGGAGAGATAACTGATTTCAGGACTGAGGGTGGGTAAGTACAAAATGAGCTTGAAACATCTTATGCTAGAAAATAAGGAAATCCCCAAAATTTTGGGAGCATGTCTTAAGGAACTAGCTTGACGCACTTTCCACTGCCCAGTCTGAAAGTAGTTGAGCACCAAAATAATTAAATATAGTGATGATCTAACTAACCATTGAAAATAAGTGATTCATGAGTCCATATCATTAGTAAAGAAGTGAATTAATTAATGGGGAGAGCTGAGGGCTCTAGCTCATTAAAGACTGTTGAGTGCTGACTGGCAACAATAGTTATCAGAGTAGCTGCTGGATTTGGGAAGTCAATATTTTGCATGTTTCAGTAATGACTGATCAGACTAGAATCATAAAATGCTTAATCTAGGGGGAATTTTTTTATGACAAGCAGAATATTCACATATTTATATGGCTTTAAAGTGGCTGTCTATAAACTGCTTATTAATTGCAAGGGGAAAATAGTAATTATATGATAGTGAAATCAGATGACTCCTAAACTGGTACAAAATGGATATCACCAGTGAAAAGCAGATGGATATGTGTGACTTCAAATGTGATACCTTGAAAGGATACACCATCACTTACATAGTATTATGGCTGAGAATGTATAAACCTGATCCTGGCCATGAGGAAGCATCAGTCAAGCCCCAAATGAGGACAGTTTTATTTATTTTTAAAAGTGTATGTGTCTGTGTGTATATAGGTGTTATATTCTTTAGAAATGTGAATGCCATAAAAAATAAAAGAATGAAAAGAAAGAAAGAAGGACCAAAGAAAGAGGGAAAGGGACAAGGTAGAGAGGGAGGGGTGAGGGAGAGGGACAGGAAGAAAGAGAAAGACAGGAAAATGAAGAAAGGATGACGGGAGGGAAGAAGGAGCTGAGGAGGTGGCGGGGAAGGTTCCAGATTAAAGAGGGTAAAGAGACATGGAACTAAATAAAATACCTGACCCTAGGCTAGATCCTACACTAGAACAGGGGAAACACTACAAAGGATGTTATTGAGTCAATTGACAAAATTGTAATATAGATGACCGATTAGATAATAGTATCAGCTCAATGTTAATTTCTTAAATCTGATAGCTGTACTATGGTTGTGTAAGAGAATATCCTTTTACTTAAGAAATCCTGAAGTTTGTAGGGATAAAGAACCCTTGAATAGAATATGTGTATACATATTTACGTATGTGTGTGTATACAAACATATATATGTGAGAGATTGAGAGTATGCAAAATCTTGGTAGCAGCAACCTCAAAATATCAGTGGCTTGCAAGAATACTTTATTTCTCACTCATGAACATGTGGGCAAAAGGGTGACTTTGTGAGTTAGGTAAATCTGGGCAAATGATGTTTCTACTCTTGCAAATCTTATGTACACTTAAGTTATTTCCAACTAAAAAGTCTGTAAAAGTCCTCTATTTTTTGACCAAAAAAACTTTTGGACCCCCATCTTATTAAGCTTTTTTGTAGTTTGGTGCTATATCTGCCTCAGTTTATATGGCCACGCCTTTTTACACTTTAGTGAATCTTTGCATCCTGCAAGTGAAAAGTGAAGTGTTGATCGCTCAGTCATGTTCAATTCTTTGCTATCCCATGGACTTTAGTTTGCCAGGCTCCTCTTTCCATGGAATTCTCCAGGCAAGAATACTAGAGTGGGTAGCCATTCCCTTCTCCAGGGTATCTTCCCTACCCAGGGATCAAACCTGGGTCCTTCCGCCTTGCAGGTGGATTCTTTGTCATCTGAGCCACCAGGGAATCCCATTTACAAATATTCTTTCTTAATTTTTACATATAGAATAAATTAAAGGGTGGGTTTTTTCCTCCATTTAATTAAATTTTTCTTTTCTTCTGAATGCTTAGAATTAAAAGTTTTGGAATATCAAGCATAGTTAATAAAGTAAGGTAATATGATAGTGTGTGTGTGTGTGTGTGTGTATATATAAAAAATAGCACATAGTAATTATTTAATAAATATTAACTATTATGGTCATTATTATTAATAATAGAAGAAGAAATATTAAGTGCAGAGAAATAGGTGAAAATGATTTATTTTAACAATTTCATTTAGAGGAATAAAACCTAATTTTGACTGAGAGAATAAGATGACTTTTTAGAGAAAAGGTGACACATGAACTAGACCATACAAAAGGGGAGAGCACTCCAGGCAGTGTGCATCCTGAAGAGCATGGTGTGAAAGAAAAAGTCTTATCTTGAGCGTCAAAGTCAGCTGGCTTTGTATGCTAATTTAACTATTATCTCTTAATGTTTTTGTATCTAAAATGTGATGGTAACATCTGTTTATAATTTGTTCATAGGATTTGAGAGTTTAAGAGCCTAAAACTACCAGGAATATAATAAATTCCTAAAAAAAATAATAATTTGTATTTGTGTTAGTTCATCATCATCACCTTGTCATTATTAAAGGCTTTGGGACATAAGGAAAACATGAAAAGATGAAAGCATTAGGAAATAATATTTGGGGGCTATGGGGGAGTTTTTATGTTGGGACTAAAGCAGGCAGGCACTTGAATACCAGTCTAAGATTTTAGACAATGGATTGCCATTGAAGGTATTTGACAAGAGGAGAAGAAAGATCAACTTGTTCCATCTGTAATCTG